TGGGACTCGCTTTGTTCAATGAAACGAGAGCAGAAGTAGCATGTCACTTCCTGGTGGGAGCCCTGAGGAGCTGGTGACTGATCTGCCGGGTCCCCTTCCCCTGGTGGCCACCTGATGTTCCAAGAGGTGGGAGTTTGGTCCTGTGGGGCTGCTGTGTGAGGCTGCCGAGACACAGCAACATCGGAAATCTGAAGTGCAGGGCAAGATGCACCAGATTGAGGGCGAGAGCCCAGAACCAGCGCCCCCCCAGCTGATTAAAATAAAAATACAATCAACATGCAGTTCCTTCTAGGAATGTAAGGCTGTATCAATGTTATAAGAACTATTAATAGGTTAAAAAAAGATAAACTTATCATCTCCTCCAGTGGTTCTTACCTTTGTTTCCAGGCTCTGTTACTAGATGCATACAAATTTGGAGCTATTACATCTCCTTGGTGAATTAAAAGCTCTGATTTGATATTATTTATTTCTACTGCTATACCAAAAATATAACTTTATTAATATGGGTATATCGGCTTTTCTTCTTCAGTAGTTTCCAGGTTTATTTTTCTCATCCTTTACTTTCAAATTTTCAACATCCTTATGTTGAGATGTTTCTTGTAAATAGCATAACACTTGAATTAAAATATAGCCTAACAGTCTTTTGTCTTCCAACTAGCGTTTTTCGTCCATTTACATTTACTGTACTTACTGCAAATATTATGCGTTTCCCTCATCTTATTCTGGGCTTCCTATTTGTACCTCCTTCCCTATGGGAGGATTATTTTGGATTATTTCTTTTTTATTCTAATTTCCCCCTTCTACTAGTTTGGAAGTTATAGACTATTCTAGTCTAGTATTTACTGTAAGCATTAATATTCCTACTCTTCTCAACCAAGTAATATGTCACCCTCCCCTCGAACAATACTTAGATTTTAAAACCTTACTCCACTCAGCTCTTATTTGCCATTCTTGTCTAAATTTAGTTTTTAATCCTACACACTGGACATCATAATTCTTGTTGATGAAGGTGATGTTTCTTTAGCTGCACTCACATATTTCCCACTTTTTTGCTATTTGCTCCTGCATGTCAGCCCTTCTTGCTGGATCATTTTGTTTCTGCCTGAACAACTCCCTTGGAATTTTGTTCAGTGAGGGCCTTTACTTCTCCCTCCTCCTCCAGAGGTGTCTGCTGGGGGAGCATTTCTCTTGCTGTGTTCTCTCAGCCCCTTGCAGGTGGCACCGCCGTGTCCTGGGTGCCGTGCTGTGGGACCTTGGAGCAGCTCTCGGGCTGTCACCCTCGTCCCGCTTGTTGACTTGGGTTTTCTGCACCTTCACTTGTGTCTCGTTGTGTAACTTGCTTGGGATTTGGCTTTTTGAACACTGGTGAATTGATGTCTTTCACCAGATCTGGGAAACTCCTTGCCATCATCGCCTTCGGAGTTGGCCTCTGCCCTCTCTCCTCTGTCTCTTAACCTCCCTTTTCTCTTCCCATGTTTGGGAGATTTACTCAGCTCCATCTTGCAGTTCACTGGTTTTCTCTTCTGCTGTCTCAAATCCACTGTTAACCCCATCCAGTGTTTGAAATCTCAATTATTAGCTTTTTAATTTCTTAGTTCTATTGGGCTCGTCTACAAATATTACTGTCTCTTGCTTTCTGTTCACACTTCAGGACTAAACACACCAATTCTGGGCCCAGTGATGCCAACACTGGAGGTCTTCACTGCTGGCTCCCCCTCACGCAGACAGGCTGTGAGTTCTGACCCTGGCTCATACTTCCCGGGATGTGACTGGGGGCATCCGCTAAGGCTGGAGTTGCAGGTTCTCCCAGCAGACCCAGGTCAGCACCACGCTGGACTGCGTTAAACCACGTTGTCCACTGGGCGCCTTCAGACACCCAGATAGCGTTGGAGTCGCAAACTCATGAGAAGTCACGTCACTGGACTAGATTCTCCCCCTCCTGCTCCTGATGGCAAGGTCGGAGATGTCCAAGGTTCCTTTCCAATCCTGGGAAGATCTTTTGATTTCCAATTCACCCTTTGAGGTCTTGACTTATCAGACCCACCATCCTGAAAGTCCATGAAAACTGAGGACCAGACCTGCCTCATCCGACAGGAAAGCTGCTTCCTTCCCGGTAGTCCTGCCTGTGCTGACGTTCTGGCCTCTGCTCCTTATTTTCTGGTTGCTTGCTGATACATTAATCATGGTTTAACCCATTTTTACCAGAAATTTTAGTTGTTTTTACTGTGGGATCAGCTTGGGAATCTAGTCCACCACCTGATCAGAAGCGGAAGTTCCCAAAGTTTCCTATGCACAGTCCAGGCCTCCTCTGTGGAGATTCTAGAACTCTAAGAGGAATGAGCATGTGAGAAACGACTGGGAATTTATGAAGGAAACAAATCAAATTAAGAACAAAGAAGCTGCCTGATGTGCTACTAAAACACCACGTTACACCAGTGAAAATAGCAAGGAGATGGCCGAGGTTGGCAATGGAATTAGAGCAGATCCAGAAACAGATGCCAACACACATGGATAATTCAGGGAGGAGGGAGTGTTTCAAATCTGTCCCCAGCATGGGACAGTCAGGCTGTCTGGGGTGGAGCAATCTCTATATCTCTCCCCATCCCAAAATAAGTCCTAGATGGATAAAAATAAAAGTTGAAATTATAAACAAAGAACAAACCATGGGAGAATTTGTGCCAACTGCGGGAAAAGCCTCTCAAAGCACAAAAGACATTTAAAGATTGTGGTTTGAAAACCATAAAAATAAAACATTTACAGCAAAACTGTTCATAAACAAAACAAAGATAAATTTGGGAAAAACCATAAAAACTTATTAACGTTTATGAGGATAAATTTTGTTTCCTAGCACAATTAAAAATGTTTAAAAGAATTATGATGTATAAATGAGAAAAAGACAAATATCTAATAAAAAAATCAAACCGACTAACTAAAAATAAATAAATATTAGAAAACCTCCCTGGTAATGAAAGCAATGACTGAGAACAGGAGACAGCACCCATCATTAGACAATTGGGCCAAAATGGAAAATGGGGGCACGTGGCCTTGTGTGAACAGCGACCATCCTGAGACCCTGGACAGGAAGTCCATCTCTGCCCGGCAACAACAGGGCAAGGGGGCAGCGGGCCACAGCCTGCGTGCCCGGCGGCAGGGCAGCCAGTGCTAGCTTCGCCTGGGCACCATGCCGGCGGTGCGTGAGCCCAGACTGCCGTCCTCGGAACTTCCTGTCAGCGTAGGCTGGAGCGCGTGGCAGCGGAAGGTGAGCGCAGGGCTGCTTAGCCAGGTCCCAGGTGCTGCTGCCCCACCTCCCCCAGGCCAGGTGTGCGCTGCGCTGGGTGGCTGAGGCACCGGTTTCCGCAGCAGCGCCCACGGCGCCCTCGTGGTTCCTGTCCTGGGCTCCAGTGCAGCTCACCTGACGTCCACCTGCCCTTCCCGACCACCTGCCCTTGGAGTCCAGCCCCGACGCCACACATGAGGACAGCTGGGGGCCCTTCAGGCGCTCCCACACGAGGTACTCAGGTCCCCGAAACCCATCCTCTGGAGAGCTCTCCACAGCTGCTGCTGGCCCCGTGATTCCAGCCTCTGGCTGTTGCAGACTGGACTGCGTCCTCCACCCAATTCCCACGGTGAAGCCCTGACCCCCAACGTGATGGTGTGGGGGCGTGGACCTTTGGGAGGCCACCAGGGTTAGATGAGGTCATGAGCATGGGGCCCCCACAATGGGGCTAGTGCTCTTATGGGAAAGGGACTCCAGAGAACTTGCTCCCTCTCCCAGCAGGACGACACGGCCAGAAGGCGGCTGTCTGCAGGAAGTGAGCCCCCCAGAACCCAACCACGCCAGCCCTGGTCTCACACTTCCGGCCTCCAGAGCTGTGAGAAGTGTCTGTTGGTGAAGCCGCCTGGTCTGCGGTGTTCGGTCACGGCAGCCTGAGCTCACCGAGATGTCGTCTGGAACAGCCAGAGGGAGGAGCTACCCCGCAAAGCCCTGCAACGCCACACAGTGATTCCGGCCACTATCTCCAGGGAAGAGAGCAGGCTGCCAACCAGCCAAGGACATACGCTGGTGTGGGAGGGTCCTGGGGCTGCCGTCACAAAGTGCCACAAACTAGGGGCTTAAAACAACAGTCTACTCTCTCACATTCCGGAGGCCGGTAGTCTGGGATCCAGGTGTGGGCAGGGCTGGCTCCCTCAGGAGGTCCCAGGGGAGGACCCTTACTCGCCTCTCCCAGCTGTGGGGGCTCTGGTGTCCTCGGCTTGTGGCCGCATCACTCCAAGCCCTGCCTCTGTCTCCACATGGCCCTCCCCTCTGTGTCTCCTCTTCTGTCTCTCATAAGAACACTTGTCATCGGATTTAGAGCCCATCCAGATAATCTCAAAATCCTTCATTTAATTGCATCTGCAAAACCCCCTTTGCCACACCCAGTCACAGTCACAGGTGCCGGGGTCAGGACTGGGACACATGCTCTGGGGTTGCCATTCCGCCCAGTGCGGCTGGCGTCTCACCTAACATCACACGTGGGTGTCTCTGTCCATGCAGAGATCAGGAACAGGGTTCTTCAGGAAACTGGGGCTCCAGAACTGTGGGTTTCAGGGTCCTCTCTAAGATCTTTCTGTAGTGTCTCTCCTGCCACGAGCGCCGATTGTCTCCAGGAAGGGGGCTCTGGAGCACAGAGCCTGGGGTTCCCATCTCCCCTTGGCCCCTGACTGGTTGGGTGGTGGGGGTCTGGCAGCTGCCCTCTGGGCGCCAGTGACCCCATCTGTAAAACCACCCCTCGAGGTCGCAGTGCTAGGCTGCAGGGCTGCTATTAGTGGTTATCGCCGAGAAGCACCACCTCCCCTGGGCCTGGGTTTTCCCAGCTGTGACATGGAGGCCAGAGCATGCCTGACCTGGGGGTTGCTGGGGATTCCATGGCCACTGGGACTGGGGGCCCACACGGTGGTAAGGACTGTCCCGGGCACCATCAAGCCCCCCACTGGCAGAGGAACAGGGGCCACAGCCAAGCAGAGCATCTAGTTTATTTCTGACTCGGGGGAGTCTCAAGACGCGGCAGACCCAGCCCGGCGGTGTCAGGCGGGGCTAGAACTCCACCTTGCAGGCGGGGAAGGCCTCGTCCTGCATGGACACGGTGCTGTTGCTGCCCAGCACGGTGACGCCCAGCTCCTGGTGCCGTGCGTGCGTCTCCTCGTACCACCGGTGCATCGCGCCCGAATCGAAGGTGGGGATCAGGGTCACCTGTGGGCGGGACAGAGGGACCAATGGTGAGGGGGCGCCCTCCTGGCCCAGCCCCACGGCACCCGAGGCCCCTCTCTGACCACGTTTGCTCCGCCTGTTAGCTCTCACCTGGACGTCTGAGCTGGCGGCCAGCCTACCCTGCAGCCCATTCCCTTCCCTCAGCACCCAAAGAGCCCTCTCACAAGCCGAAGACCGGGCAGCTCTTCTGTGAACCCCTCTCCGTGCTTCCCACCAGCCTCCCCGCTGCCATCCCCCTCTTCGCTGGCCCAGGCCTCCCTCTGACACCTTGAACACTCCAAGCCTGCTCCCATCTCCAGGCCTCTCCCTCCCAGTGGCTCCACAAGTTGTGCGCGAGCGGCGGCCACAGGCCCGGGCAAGGCTGGGGTCGGCCGCGCACACGCTGCATGGGCAGCTGGGTACCTGGAAGATCCTCCCTCTACCCAAACTCGCCTCACCCTCCAAGGCTCCATTTCAGTCTCAGGCTTCAAGTGACCCCAGCCCTCAGGTCACTTCTCAACTCTCTCAGCTGCACTGACACTGCACTCCCCGCCCAGTCCACCCTGACCATTCTATGGGGGCGATGGAGGTGATGGAGCCAGCCCCCCCTGCATCCTCACCCAGGGCAGCTGCAGACTGAGGAGGACGTGGACGTGACAGGAACAGGGGCCTCCTGCGTTTGCCTTCATCCCCGTGTAGCCCTGGGGACGTGCCTCTTCTCTGAGCCCCGCGCCCTCCGCCACGCGGGGAGGACGGCCGCCTGACCCACGGGACCGTGTGGGTTCAACAGGAAGACTCTAGGAGGCACTGACCCCGCCCTGCGCCAAGACTGCCCGAGGCCCCAGAGGTCACGCACCTGGAGGTCACGGTCCCACTGCTGCTTGCCGGCCAGCAGCGCGTCCAGGACGGCCCGCATGCCCTCCTCCTTGCGCTGGTCCTGGCCGCTGATGACGTAGCAGAGTGCCCGCACCCGCCGGAAGAACTCCTCGTCCACCAGGCGGGCACTGCCCCCGCTGGGCAGGTAGGCCAGGTCTAGGTAGACGGGGGAGCCGGGTGGAGCTGCTGACCCACCTGGCCGGCTGCCGGGTGACCCTGTGAGCAAGGAAGGAGGAGTCAGTGTGGACTCCCAGGGCCGGGAAAGGGCTGAGACCCAGAGGTCAGAACGAGGCTCCCAGCTCCACCAGCACCTCTCTGAACAGCTCCCTCCTTGGCAGGAGTCCTAATCTCCCTGTTTTACGGCTGACAGGGGCAGATACTCGACAAACTCGGCAGACACCCTGACCGCCTCCTCAGTGCCTGGACCCTCCCTCGCCAGTCCCTGGAGACAGACATCCCCAAGACCAAAGGAGGGGGCAATCAGAGAGGGCTTCCTGGAAGAGGGGGTTTTGGAGCTTGAGCCCTGGAAGCAGCTGGTGTCTGGAACGCTCTGCTGCTTCTGCAGCATCCATCCGTTCAATTACTCAAGGGATGTCTATCAAGCCATCCAGGGCACCAGGTCCTGGGGACATGGTAGTGACCAAGACAGACAAAAAACCCCCACCCCAAGGGTGACAGGGAGCCAGAGCTGTTGTGAGAGGGACAGAGTTACCAGAGGGAGACCTAGGATGGGGCGGCCTGGCCGCAGATGGGGCAGCTGCTCTCAGGGCCTCGTCCATGGCCCTGAACCCAGAGCTTGTGCAAGAGGGACGAAGCCGCCATCTGACCAGCTGACTGAGGACACTGCTGGGTCTGGGCGCAGGAAGCCTGCCAGACGCTCAGCATCTGACAACCATAAACACTGCCCCGCTCAGGATGTGGGCCCCGCTCAGAGAGCGGCTGGGGCGTTTGCAGAAAGAACGCAAGCCCAGCTTTGGGTGAGTGGCACCCCACACTCAAAACCGGGGAGCATGGCGGCGAGGGTCCTGAGTGGAGCCTCAGGGAGAGAAAGCCATGTTGGCCCCAGCAGGCGTGAGGGCGGCCGGAGCGGCAGAGGTGGAAGGGCAGAGAGAAGATATGGGGGCCGTGGGCAGGAGGACGGGGGCAGAGGAGGGCCAGCGAGCTACGGCGCACAGGCCACACTCGGCGAGCGGCTGCTTTGTAAGCATGGGTCGGCTGGCGTGGCCGTGCGCTCAGCAAGCCACCGCTGGGCTACGACGGCAGGGCTGGGGACGGCACAGAGACCAGCCGGCCCGCAAAGCTGACACGTCTACCCCCAGCCCTTTGAGACAGGCTGCTGATGCCAGCATGGAGGGTCGGTTTATCTGAGGCAGTGCGAGCAGCAGACCCCAAGTGGCCGAGACGGCGGCCTCTGGAAAGAGGCCAAATGCCCCAGCAGGCGGAGCCTCGGACGACCCCCAGCCTCCGGGTGCCAGCCCTGCCCGGGGGGCCACCCTCTCCCTGCCACTGTGCTGGGAACCCCTGACCTGCCAGAGGTCATGGCGGCCCATCAGCTGCCGCCCTTAGGACCCGCCCAAGGAAGACAAGAGGTGGCAGCTCAGATGGGCACTGAGGCCAGGAGAGGATCAAGAGGCCAGGGCAGCCAGGCCCCGAGGGGAGACACGCCAGAGATGGCCATCAGCTCCTGGAGGGCAGGACCACCCTGGGCACCGGGACAGGGCCCAGCCCAGGGCGAGCGCTCAGCAGACAGGAGCTCAAGTTACTGCTGTCATCACTCTCACTGCTCTCTCGCCAGCCCTCCCCCAGTAACCCTAGGCCTGCGCTGACCAACGCAGTGGGCAGTGAGCACCGCAACGTGGCACATGTGGCCGAAACGGCTCTGAGTGCGCTCCAGGCTCCCAAGACGTGCTGCAGAGAAGAGAAAGGGAACTATCTAGTCACTTCTTCTCTTGCTCACACGTTGAAATACCATTTTCATGTAGTATGCAGGAAAGAATTAACACAGCACGAAGATTCTGGACGCGGGCACAGGAAGAGGCACCAGGCATCTGCCCCCATGCAGACGACAACTGTGGGGCAGCCCCTCCCTGCGAGGGTGAAGTGAGTCACCTGGGATTTCAAGGATCGTGCATTTTTTTATCCTTCTTACACCCCCTCTTCATTTATTTCTTCTTCCCCGTTTGGGAGCCAGACATTTAGAGATTAGGACACTCACAAGCAGCTGCACACACAGGGGAGTTTAGAAAGCCACCACGCATGCCCCGGGCAAGCTGCAGGCTCAGAAAGACCAGAGAACGCCTCACATTTACACCCCAGACTGGTGGCCAGCACAGAGACAGCCCACTGTAATTCAACAAAAAAGCCACAGCAAACTCTGGGGAAAAGGGAAATTTGGATCTCCAGAGTTACCACATTCTTAAATTCAAACATCCAGTTTTCAACAACTATAACAAAATCACAGGGCACCCAAAGAAACCAAGTATGTATGGCTCATTCAAAGGGAAAAAACTAAATCAACAGAAACCATCCCTGACAAGGACCAGATGGCACACTTACTAGACAAAGACTTTAAAAATGACTATCTGAAAGACACTCAAAAGAAGTAAAGGAAGACGTGGCAGACAGGCGAGAAAAGGATGCATGAACAAAATAAAAATATCAATAAGGAGACAGAAAACAAAAAAATAAATGAAAAATTTTGCAGCCAAAAAGTACAACAACTGAAATGAAAAATTCACTAGAGGGACTCAATTCAAGATTTGAACAGGCAGAAGAATCAGTGATCTTGATGGCAGGACAACGGAAACCGAGTCTGAGGAACAGGAAGAAAAACGATGGGAGCAAGTGAACAGAGTCTGCGGGGCCCGTGGGACAGCACCGCAGGACCAACGCACACACCAGGGCAGTCTCAGGAGAGACGGCAGAAAGGTCATCTGAAGAGATAAAGGCCCAAAACTTCCCGCACTTGATGAACGACACGAATATAAACAACCAAGACGCTCGGCAAACTCCAAGTAGGATGAACGCAGAGACCACAGTGAAGGAGACACGTTATATCAAATGCATTATAATCAAACTGTCGAAAAAGACAAAGAGAACTTTTTGAGAGAAAGTAGTGATAAAGGGGAAGTTTACAGCTATAAATGCTTATATGAAAAAGAATCTCTCAAAACAACAACCTAACATTATACCTTAAGCAAACAGAAGAAGAAGAACAAAAGTCAATTTAAAGCTAGCAGAAGAAAGGAAATAATAAAGATTAGAGCAGAAATTTTAAGAACAGAGAATAGAAAAACACAGAAGAAAATCACCAAAATCAAAAGTTGGTTCTTTGAAAAGATTAACAAAATTGACAAATCCTTAGCTAGATGGACTAAGAAACAAGAGAAGACAAACGAGGAAGATCAGAAATGAAAGTGGGACGTTACCACTGCTTCTACAGAAAGAAGCAGTGTCATGAGAGCGCAATGAACAACACACGAACAAACTGCATAACCTAGAAGAAATGTAAAGATTCCTAGAAACACAAAACCTACCAAGACTGAATCACAAAAAAATAGAAAATCTGAATAGATGTATAACTAGGTAAGGAGACTGGATCAGCAATTGAAAACCTTCTGGGCTTCAAGCAAACATTTAAAGAAGAACTAACGTCAATCCTTCTCAAACTTTTCCAAAAAACTGAAGAGCAGGAAACACTCCCTAACTTATCTATGAGGCCAACCTAACCCTAATACCAAGGCCAGGCAAAGACACCACAAAACAAGAAAACTGAAGACCAATACCCCTTAGGAACACTGACGCAAAAATCCTCAACAAAATACTGGCAAACACACCGCGACCAAGCGGGATTTATTCCTGGGATGCAGGGATGGTTCAACACGTGAAAATCATCGTAACACTCCACATTAACAGAACGAAGGAAAAAACCCCACATGATCATCTCAATCCACACAGAAAAGCACTTGACAAAACTCAACACTCTCTCATGACAAACCCACTCAACAAACGAGAAACAGAAGGAAACTACCTTAACATAATATGAACCACATATGAACAACCCACAGTGAACACCAGTGAAAGACTGAAAGCTGCTCCTCTAAGAGCAGGAACAAGCCCAGGAGGCCTGCTCTCGCCACTTCTACTCAACACAGCACCAGAAGTCCTAGCCAGAGCAATCAGGCAAGAAAAAGAAAGAAGAGGCATCCACACTGGAAAGGAAGAAGCAAAGTTATCTCTGTTCACAGGTGACACTTATATGTCTTATATGTAGAAAACCCTAAAGATTCCACACACAAAAAAGAAACCTGTTAAAACTAATAGATGAATTCAGCAAAGTAGCTGGATACGAAATCAACACACAAAAATCAGCTGTATTTCTATACACCACAATGAACAATTCAAAAGGGAAATTAAGAAAACAATCCCATTTACAACAGCATTAAAAAGAATAAAATATTTAGGAATTAACCAAGGAGGTAAAATATTTGTATGTGAAAACTACAAAACATTGCTGAAAGAAATTAAAGATGACACAAATTAATGGCGAGACACCCCACATTCGTGCATTTAGACCGCATACTGTCATGTCAACACCACACAAAGCGAGCTACAGATCAAATGCAATCCCTGTCAAAAGCCCAATCATGTTTTTTTGCAGACATAGAAAAATACATTTCAAAATTCATATGGAATCTCAAGGGACCCCGAATAGCCAAGACAATCTTGAAAAAGAAGAACAAAGTTGGAGGACTCACATTTGCTGATTTCTAAGCTTACTGCAAAGCGACAGTAATCGAGACAGTGTGGTCCTGGCATAAGGACAGACATACAGACCAACGGGACAGAACGGCGAGCCTGGAAACAAACCCTCCCGAATACGGTCAAATGAGTTTTGACAGGGGTGCCACACCATTCCACGGGGAAAGCACAGTCTTTTCAGCAAATGGTGCTGGGAAAACCGGATCTCCACACACAGAATGACGAAGTTGGACCAACACCTTATACCATATACACAAATTAACTCGACATGGATCAAAGACCTCAAGCTAAAACTATAACTATATAACCATAACTAAAACTGTACAACTCAGAAGAAAACAGAGGAAAAGCTTCATAACATTAGATTTGGCAATGACTTCTTGGCTATGATACCAAAAGCACAGTCAACAAAAGAAAAAATATATAAATAGGACTTTGTCAAAATTAAAAACATTTCTGTATCAGACACAATCAACAAACTGAAAAGGTCCTGTTCCCATGGAACATAAGAAAATATTTGCAAATCATAAATCTGATAAGGGATTAATATCCAGAATATAAACAGAACTCCTAAAACTCAACAACAAAAAACAACCTGATCCAAAAATGGGCAAAGGACTTGAACCGACATTTCTCCAAAGAGATACAGAGGGCAGACAGGCACGGGAGAAGACGCTCCACATCACTAGTCACCAGGGCAATGCAGATCAACACACAAGGAGATGCCAGCTCACACCACTGGGAGGGCTATAACCAAAAAAACAGAGAATAACAAGTGCTGACGAGGACGTGGAGAAACTGGAGCCCTCGTGCACTAGCGGTGAGAATGTCAACTGGGGCAGCCACTGTAGAAATCAGTCTGGCAGTTTCTCAGAAAGTTAAACACAGAAGGACCACATGATGCAGCAGCTCCACTTCTGGGTGTATAGTCCGGAAAAACGGAAGCAGGGACTCAAAGAGGTGCTTGTACCTGGCACACTCACAATCACCAAACAACGGAAGCAACGCAAACACCCGTCAACGGATGATGGATAAACAGAGTGTGGCCCATACACACGACAGAAAATCACTCAGCCTTAGAAAGGAAGGGAATTCTGACACCTGCTACAACGTGGATGAACCATGAGCACATTATACTGCGTGAAAGAAACCAGTCACAAAAGGACGGATACTGTGTGATCCCACTTACACGAGGGCCCTCGAGGGGTCCGATCCACAGACAGAAAGTAGAATGGGGGTGCCAGGGGCTGGGGGAGGGGGAGGGCAGTTAGTGTTAATGGGACAGAGTTTCAATGAAAGGAGTCCTAGAGATGGACGGTGGTGATGGCTGCACGACAACGTGAATGTACTTAATGCCACTGAAACATGCACTTAAAAATGGCTAAGGTGAGGGGCCGGCCCCATGGCTTAGCGGTTAAGTGCACGTGCTTCGATGCTGGTGGCCTGGGTTCGGATCCCGGGCGCGCACCGACGCACCGCTTCTCCGGCCATGCTGAGGCCGCTTCCCACATACAGCAACTACAAGGACGTGCAGCTATGACATACAACTATCTACTGGGGCTTTGGGGGAAAAAAAATTATAAAAAAAAAAAAATAGCTAAGGTGGTAAATTTTATGTTACGTATATTTTATCACAATTTTTAAAAGCTGGAAAAAAATAGCACGCAGGCCTGACACTGCTACCCTTAGAAAGCTGACACTTGGGCCCTTGGCTGGCGTCTGGGAACTCAGATTTCAGAAGGGTTCCCACCATCCCGGAAATGATTGAGGTGGCTCACAGTGCCTACGTTGTTCCTACAGCAGCGCGGCATATGTTGAACACCTGCTCTCCGCTCCAGGGAGTCTAGAAATCTGGGACATGCCAGGCACCCACGTGACCAGCCCCGACCAACACCCTGGGCACTGAGCCTCTAAGGAGCTTCGCTGGCAGACACTTCACACGTGTCCTCACAGCTTGTTCATCAGGGAATATGCACGTGGTGTGTGACTCCACTGGGAGAAGACTCTAGAAGCTTGTGCCTGGTCTCCCTGGCACATCCCCCGTTTCCTCTCATTCTAATACATCTCAGCCATGAGCAAACTAGAGCCTGAGTTCTCCCCGCCAACCGTGAACCTAGGGGTGGGTCTTGGGAACCTCAACACAAACAGGTTAAATAAAATGTACTGTTAAAATTTATTTCACCTACTTTTGTTTAACGTGGCTACCAGAAAATTCACAATCACGCATGTGTTCATGTTATGTTTCCATTGACAGCACTGCTAGAGCACCTCAGAATTAGAACTGCTCAAACAGTGAAGCCAGACCCTTAGTTTTACAGGAGAAACTGAGATCCAGAGGGGGTGGCAGGTGTGGCTGAGGCCACAGAGCAAGTAGAGAACAGGAGGACTTAGGCTGGTAACCCACTGCAGGACCCCAGCCCCCAGGTACTTACCAGATGGGCCCCGAGTGGTGGTCTTGGGGACTGAGGACTTTCTGGACAGGGGTGCCCGACCTCCCTTGTCACCGGGCTCGCTCCGGGCACTGAGTGGCCGACTGGCCCGGTCCCCAGTGGCCAGCCCCCTGGTTTTGGCAGTGATCAGTGGAGTGGCTTTCGGGGTGGCAATGCCAGGGGTGGGGCGGGCCAGGGACTTCGGGGTACGGCCGAGGCCCGGCGGCAGCACCTCAGGATCCACCATGCAGATACTGGGCGGGGTGGGCAGCGGTGGGGGGAATTGAAGGGGGTCGGGCAACGGGTCACGGCGAGGGCCCCCGAAGCCCTCCGTGTCCTCGTCAGAGACGGCAGTGCCGGGGGTGGCAGGTAGGGGGTCCGAGTCCGACAGGGTGGGCAGGGACTCGCTGACGGACGTGGGAGGCGTCTCCTCGGCCCCCGGAGCGCCGGCCCGCTCCTGGGACCGGGTGCTGCTGCCATCGGAGCTGCCGGGGGACGCGGGTGCCGGCACCACGGGCACGGCCTTGCGGTGCTCAAACTCGCAGGGCGACACCAGGCACAGGTCCACGTCGTGCGGGGAGGCCGAGCGCCGCGCCCGCGGGCCTCGAAGTGGGAGGCTCAGCCCAGCCTCGCCCGCGGCGGCGGCGGCCGGCGGGGGCAGCACCTGCTCGAAGGAGACGGACAGGGACTCGTCCACCTCCGTGGAGTGCGGGGAGCCCACCTCGGCGGGCAGCGAGGGCGTGGTCAACGTGGGCGAGGCGTCCGGTCCCGCCTCCCCGGCCCTCAGCGGGCTCAGGGACAGCCGCCCGCCGCCCTCGGTGGGGCCCTGGGGGGCTCCGGGGGGCGAGGGCGTGCCCCGCCCGGGCGTGCTAGTGGCCAGCAGCAGCTCCAGCGTCTTCCCCACGCTGCCACCGTCCTCCCCAGCCAGGCGCAGCCGCAGCTCCAGACTGCTCTCCGGGCTGGGCGTGGCCACCGGCGGGGCGGCGGGGGAGCTGCAGGCTTCTGTCGGGGGGCTCGCCTCTCCACCCCGGAAGCTGGGGAGGCTGCCAGGCCCGTTCTCCGCTAGTGAGACTCCCGGGTGGGGGGTGCTGGGTGCTCTGCGGGACTTGGGGGCCACCTGAGCACCTGCCTTCTTGACACCGACCACGGCAGAGGCTGCCCGGCGGACCTCCCGGGACTGGGTCCGCGGGGTACTCAGCCTGGGGTCCTTCTTCAACTCCCGGGGGGGCCTAGCTTCCTTTTCAGCCCTGCGAGCAGCCTCAGCCCGTGGCGGCTCCTTCCGGGCCACCCCGGGGCACTCCTGGGCAGGCCTGGCGGGCGTCGTCGTCCGGCCCTCTCTTCTCAAGCTGTCCCGGGAGCCCACGCTCTCCTTGCTCTCGGCTCGCCGAGGCCCCGCCAGGTCCTGGGGGGTCACCACCGGCTCCCGCAAGAAGCCCAAGTGCTGCAGGCGGACCAGGCCGTCCAGGAGGCGGGCGGGCGGCGTGCAGCCAGGGAACAGCACGCGCACCACCTTCTCCGCGGGACCCGCAGGATGCCACACCAGCAGAGCGCACACGGAGGCCAGCGTGTGGTCGGCCCCAGCCGAGGGCGGGTGCAGCACGTACATATCCAGCCGGCCTACGCCCATCTTCTGGAAGAGCACGGTGGGCTCAGCTGGCAGCGGCCCGCGGCTCAGGGGCAGGGGCGTGATGCCCAGCCGGGCGAGGAGGCTCAGGGCCAGCTCCGCCTCATCCTCTCCGCGCACCAGACGCGAGGCAGCCGCCCGGGCGTTGAGGAAGACGACCCCTAGGTTGGGAGAGATGAGCCTGCGCAGCCTATCATCCCCGGAGCCTCCTCCGGCCGCCGCCTCCTCACGCTCCGCCAGCTTGCGCCGCAGCAGACTGTTGAAGCCGGGGAGGCTGTCAGCGCCTGCGTGGGTCACCAGCACGGCGTCCACCCGGTCCAGGTGCCGCACCAGCTTCCAAAAGCTCGACTTGGGGTTCGAGCCACCATTGACCAGCACGGTGAAGCCGTTGACGGCAAAGAAGGCGGCATCCCCAAGGCCTCCAGGGAAGATGTAGCAGCAGGGCCGGGCGAGCCTGAGGAAGCCCACAGAGGCCGGCGGCTCCAGCAGCTCAAAGGGGGATGGCGGCTCCAGCACCTCGGCCACGTACTCGAGAAACTCGCGCAGGCCCTCGGAAGCCGGCCGCCGTGCTGGGGGGTTCAGCTGCAGCCGGAGCAGGCCCTGGAGGCCAGGCACGTCGGGGGCCAGCTGTGCCCAGTCGCCAAAGGTCGGGCAGGCGATGGTGAGCCTGGGCAGGGCTGCGGGGGGTGCTGCGGAGGCCAGGAGATCCAGGATCTGCAGAGGTGGGGACGGTGGAGGGGCCACCTGGAGTCAGGCAGCACCCAGCCTCTTGGGAGAATGGCGAGGGTGCCCCGTCTTGCCTCGTGGGGCTGGGAGGGTCCCTCACTCGCCCTTGTCACCCTCAGCACAAAGGGTCCCTCAGCCCGCCCTCCCCATAGCCCACAAGGGCCGACGGTCCTGCCTCATCACCTGTCCCTCTTCCTACCATCGTTACGTCACTCACTACAATGTGAAAACGTGCTCTGCCAGATTTCTTCTCATTTGCCCCACCCAGACTAAGGGCACTCCAGAAGGGACCCCGTCCAGCTCCGGCCCAGCTGGGACCTGGAATCTGGGGTGCCACCTGAGGCCTCTGAGACATCTGCTGCCCCACAGGCCCAGCCTGGAACTACACACTGTAGAGGGCGAGGGGATGGGGCCCTGACAGCACCACCACTCCACAGGGAAGGAGGGGAGGGGCCCAGGGGGATGGCAGGTCGCCAGGGCCACACAGCCTGACGGGGATGACCAGGATGGAGACGTGGCGGCTTACTTCTTTGTCCCCCAGGACCTGGAGGAAGTGGCAGGCCGAGAAGCCCCCCGTCTGGAGCAGCAGCTCCCCTGTCCCCTCCAGACAGGGCCCAGCCAGCACCAGCAGCTTATGCGGGGCAGGGTCCAGCAGAAGGTCCCGGAGCTGAGGGAGGAGAGAATGTTGAAGGCCCTATTCTGTGCAGTGACATAGCCACCATCCCTCAGGGATGGCCCCCAGCCCCAAATCTACGTCTAACCACCCCACTCCTGTCCCCAGCCCATCGCCAGGCCAGAGAAGCTGGGAGGGTACCCTCTGGGCCCCGCTCCCCCCACCCGCCCCATCCCCCCCTGCCAAACTCCTGCTTATCCTACAAAGCCCGGCTCCAGTGCCCCCTCCTCCTGGAAGCCCTCTTTTCTGGGCTCCCTCAAGCCCTCCTCTCCCTCTGGCCCAGCCCCAATGCCATGGGGAAGATGTTATCTGTCTGGCTCTGTCTCCCTCAGAGCCCCTTGAGGGAGCAAAAAGGAGCATTTTTGATCAGAGGAATCAACCTCCACAAGGGTCTCTAGAGGGGTACCCCAAGGCTCTAGCTTGTTCATCTTTCTCAGTGGCAACTGGGAGAAGGGTACAGAGGTCCACAAGCTGGAAGGATTATGAAGTCGATTCAGACAAGTACTGGGGCCCAGCCAGAGGGAAGGCACTCGATGCAAATATTGGTCAGTCCTGCCTTCCCCCTCCAGACCTTCCCTAGCCCATTCCTTCCTCCCAAACTCCAGCCTTTCCCGAGCCCATCCACTCTCATCATCACTCCTGAGGAGGGAATAAGTGGAGACTTCCTGAGGGAGAAGGTGCTGCTGCTGGGTGTTGAGAAGAGGATTTTAGGCAGCACAAAGTCAGGCACACAGGCGGTGAGGACAGGGGCTGCCCCTTCCCTACCTCGTCACACAGCGACTTGTCTGACGGGTTCAGGAGGACCAGGGTCTCCAGGGCGTCTCCACGGTGGTGCAGGCTCCGCTGGCCTTGGGGGGGAATCCGGCCCTGTGAGCTTGGGGTCAGGCTATCTCGGGTCAAACCCTGCCTCCTTGAGTGACCCCAGGCAGCCACAAGCCCCTCCAAGGCTCCATTTCCCGGGGAACCCCGGCCAGGGGGTTATCTGGGGATCAACAGGCACGTGGCAGAGCTTACAGGCCAGGATGAGGCAAGAACAGGAAACCCGCCTTGGCAGGCCACACGCTGGACACAGCAGTGACACCAAGGCCTCCACTGCTTGCAGCTATCAGCCCCGTGGGGGAGGCCATCGCCACCCCCATTTTATAGGCGAGGAGCCTGGGCACAAGCAGGGCCAATGAGGGCACACCAGGAAGAGAGCACAGCCCTGAGGCAGGCCGGAGCCCAGCGTGTCTGAGGATGAGGAGGTGGCGGTGGGGGTGGAACGGGGGCGGCATGAGGGAGCCGAGCGCGGAGAGGCCTCACGGACCCCGGAGAGGCGAGTGGGGTTGATTCTGGGACCCGAACCCTGGGCTGGCCCCAGAGCCCAGACGTGTTTCACATATGGAGCAGCAGGCCCTGGGGCTAGAGGCAAGGACCTCCCGGGCTGACAGCCTTCATCAGTTTACACACACATCTCGTCACAGGCAGACACTGCCCCTCACAGGTGGGGAAACCAAGACATGGAGGGGGCAGTGACCGCCAAGGTGACACGGAGCAAATGGGATTTCCAGCCCCCCATCCTGTGAGGGCTCAGGAAGCCACCCAGAACCGCTGGGACAATGAGGTGACGGACACTTCCTTCCCCTCCTGCAGCAGCAGGGAGGTGACTCAACAGGCTGGCCAAGGCAGGAGGTGGGGGCTGCAGCCGACACGGGGCTCTCTTCACCCGGCTCACCCCAGAATCCCTAGGGAGCCATGGGCCACGTGCAGCTGGCCCAGGCACCCCCAACCCTCCTCGACCTTGCTCCTTTCTCAGCTTCCCACCTATTCGAGCACCTACTGTGCACTGGCCCTGTGCAGGGGTCACAGCCACGAACCAGACATGGTCCCTGCCACACGGGGCACACACCCCACCCCCAGGCCCCTCAGCAGCCTCTCACTTTCCAAATGTCCTGTTCCTTTGTCTGAGCCCTCCCTCTACCCGCTGCATCAGCCCCAGCTGCTTCTCACCCAAAAAGCCCCCCTCCTCAGTGGTCTCCCTGTCCCCCAAACCTCATCTGCCTCATCTGTAAAATGGGGACAAAACCACAAGCTCCTGCGCGTGTTGGCTGTTGCGGACTGAGGAGGTGGGCGCTGGGTCAGGGCCCGCCCCTGCTCCGCACTCGGCAGAGCTCAGCTGTACGATTCCCGCTGTTGTTTACAGCCGTGCCCAACCCCCGGCCTGGCACAGGCAGAACACCTGCTCAGTGATGAGTGTAAGTGGAGCAGCGGGGGCACGCGGGGTGCCCAGCCTCACCTTTCACGATGCTGGAGAAGGTAGCGGAGTGCCGGGACACGAAGACCTTGAGCTGCTCGTCAAGGCTGCAGACGCCAGGGTCAACGTCCCAGGACCGGATGCCTGGAGGAGCGGGGCAGGAAATCAGCTGGGCTTCCCAGCTCCCAGAATGTTTCAATGACTGGCACCTGGCAGGTGGGGTCCACCCCAGCCCGAGACAGCCTGGAGACTCAGAACTGCCCAAGTGCTGGTGATCTCACTGTTGTCTGCATGCAGGAACCCGAAGCGTACGCCGGCGCTTTACAGAGAAGACTCAGGACGGCAGCAAGAAAGCCCCGGCTCCTGACGGTCAGCTTGTCCCCTCCACCCCACCACTGGCCTCACTGCTCCTCCAGCCCCCTCCGTTCCTTTGCACCAGCTGTTCCCACCGCCAGGAGGCCCTTCCCCCAGGCCCCCTTCAGGTGCCGAGACCGGCCTCCACTCAGTCCGTTGCATCCTTCCGCGCATTCCTGCACCACGCGAGCTTAAAACTTGTGGCATCTCCTCACTCGCGCTGGCTCCACCGCCCGCCTGGGTCCCCACCCTAGCCCTATGCCCTGCGGGGCAACATCCCCCAAGCAGGTGAACCGAAGGTGTGCTGCCACCAGGTGATTTTACAGGCGCTGGACCGCAGGCCCCGCCCATCTGCGACGGGGGACGAAGGCCCTCCGCCCGCGGTGCGCGTGCCCCACGCCCGCCAGGCCCACCGCGCCTGGCCGCTGCAGGTGGACCTCGCAGGTGCACCTGTGACTCACCACCTCGGGCGCCAGATCCCCGGGCAGGCCGCGCCCGCCCACACCCGATTAGCCGCTCCTCCAGAGGAACGGAAAGTGGGCCCTGGGGCTGCAGGCCGGCCTCCGCAGCCCTGCTCCTCCCTCCCGCAGGTCCAGGCTGCCAGAACCCGAGGATTTCGAGGCGACCCCCGCCTCCCCGCGGCGGGAAGCGGAGGCGTCGCCCGTGTTGCCCAAGCGCGCGGGTCCCAAAGCCGGGCCCGGGGCCCTCCCCGGCCGGCCGCCAGTGGAGCCAAGCAGCCCGCCCGAGCCCCCCCGGCCCCGGCCGGCCCGACCTCGCTCGAGCTCCTCCAGCACGTAGGCCAGCAGCCCCGGGCACCCGCACTCGCCGCCCACCACCAGCAGCAGCGAGCTCGGGGGCCCCGCCGCCCCGCGCCCCACAGCCGCCGCCATCTTCGCGCGCCGAGCACCGCCCGCGGGCCCCGCCCCTTAAAGGGCCGGACCGGAAGGGCTGAGGACCCCGCCCGGAAGCCCCTCCTCGCCCTCCTCTGCCCCATGCCGGCTCCTGTGAGCTCTTGGGAACTGGGGACGCTGGCGCCGAAGCGATTGCGGGACTATTGAGTCTCTGCTTTGGGCCCCCCTTCCAAATGAGCATTCATTCATTCAACAAGCTTGACCGCACGCCTACCACGAGCCAATCACAATCCCTGCCCACATCCATCACAGTGGGGCAGAGCCAGGCCCAGGTGCTCCCAGCCCCCTAGGTCAGGGCTTGAACAGAGAAAAGAAAGGTATCTTGTAGCTAGGGGTTTGAGGGATGTGTAGGAGTTTGCCAGGTGTGGGTGGTGGGGCAAGAGTGTGTGAGGCAGAAGTTAGAGCACGTGCAAAATTTTACAGATAGGAAAGTACATGTGTGTTTGGGACACATCCTGGAGCACTCTGGGCCTAGAGCAAGGCAACACACTTATTGTGCACCTACTGTGTGCCAGGCATTTTACGCCATTAGCTCATTGAATACATGCACAAACCTATGAAGTAGGCACTGTTATTACAGTCATTTCAAAGGAATGGAGACGAAACTAAGGTTTGATGAGATGAAGTCACCAGGCCCACAAGTGGTAGAGCAGAGATTCAAACCCATGAAACTGAGAACAAAGTAGTTGAAAATCTTCCCTGGGCTAGAAGAAAAGAAAAAAAATTTGAGATAAGCTTTGCTAACTACAGCTGTGCATACTCAGCATAATCAACTGTTGTTCAAAACCATCCAGGTCTTTCTGTGCCTCCATAGTATCTGAGTGAGCTGTCTTTCCCAGGAAGCCAAAGTCCAGAGTCAAGAAGAAAATGGAGGTTTAGCCTCGCAAGGCCCAACGCAGGCCAAGGATGAACAGTAGCCGGAGAAGTCCAGACGGTCAAGGGCAAAAGAGACTCAGTCTTCAAGAACAAACCGAGTCTGAAGATGCCAGCCAGCAAGGCATATACTCCCTCCCTCCCTAAAACCCCAGCATGTGCTCCTTCTCCCCCACCTACAACCCCAGATAAAAACTCCTACCTTTTTCCCTTTGAGGAGGTGAACTTGAGTTTTAACTCCCATCTCCTCTCCTATCTCCTCATCTGGCTGCCTTTTGATAATAAAATTCTTTCCCTGCCACAAGCCTGATGTTTGGGTTAATTGGCCTTCCTGTACATCAGGTAACGAACCTGTGTTTGTAGTCAACAACACCCAGGTGGGTCTGATTCCAGATCCAGCCTGTGGCAGGGACTGACTGCCTGGCCCACATGGGTACCCTTCCCTCCGCAAACAATGTCATCCAGCCCTTTTACCCATGGCACTCACTACTTGAAAAATCATGTTGCATCAAACTTTTTGGCAGTTGCCCATGCCCAAGAAGGACTGGGCTGTCTCCCATGAGAGTGAGCTCCCTGTCTCTGGAGGTATACAAAGGAAATCAAGACAGAAATGAAAAGGTCTGAAGAAAGATCAGCCTCCCCTACTCTTCATTATCTGGTTTGTTCAAGCCCAGCTTCCTCCCTGGTCACTGTGTAACAGTCGCTGGCCACGTGCTGTCTAAGGCTCTGGCTCTCCACTTCCGCTCTTTCTTTGGCCCTGGCATCCTTCCTCTACCCTGGCCCCTCCCCCTTGGCTCCCTTCCCTGTGTCCTGGCTGCCTATGATCTCATCTATCCCTGCTCTGAGCAGTAATGACAGTGGCTCATTCTCCCCCACCAGGATGGGAGCTTGTTGAAGGCCAGACCCAGCTGAGGCCTCTCTGGGGCCCTGGCCTTTTGCAGGACAAGGCTGGGCATCTGGGAAGTGCATGATAAAGACTCCTAGAATGGGGGTGGAAAGCTCATTTGTCCACTATTCATTCATTCATTTATTCCTTCATGTGTATTTAATGATTGGGTTGGGACTTGAACCCAGGACCTTCCGAATGAAGTCCATGATCTTCCTCTGCCCAAAGCTGTGAGTTATGATTGTTGGTATTCATTCCAGTTGGTCTTATAGGGCCCTGGGGTGTCAAGATGTGTCTCCACCAGGAGGTCCGATTGGGGAGAAGGGTCCCTTCTTAGGCTTCTGGGGGCCAATGTTCTGAGTGTTCTGGAGGCCTGAGGCTTTCCTGTCCCATAGTGTCCCCCAGGCTGGGGTCCCTGGTGTGGGGAGTGTGGAGAGCATTTCCCCAGAGATGAAGAAGATCTAGAGACCATTTCTGAAATCCCAGGCACCAGACTCAGGTCGCTGCCCTCTGGCCTTTGTCCACACCCAACTCCATGCCTGTTTCAAGGGTGACAGTCCCCAGAGGGGTCAGGCAATGGCATTTGTGGAGAAAATGGAACCCTCAGCCTTCAGGACTGCCAAATGCTCTCATCTTCTTCCCCTGGTAATTATTTTCTCTTTTCAACGTTTTTGTTGAGGTTTGACATAGGCATGGTCAAGTTCACAAACGTCAGGAGTGAAGGTTGATGAGGGTGATGACCCTCGGGTCAGGATCTAGGACATTCCTAGCCCCTCGCAGTTCTTGGACCCTCCAGTTGAGTCTCCCCTCCCGCAAGGCAACCACCACCCTGACCTCTGTCACTACAGGTGAGTTTTTGTCTGGTTTTGAACTTCATATAAACGGGATCACACAGGTGTCCACTCCCACATCTCGCTTCTCTTGCTTCTCGTGTTGTGGTCAAGGGCAGACGTTTGCTCCTCTTCATGGCTGTGTAGTATTCCTGGGTACCACTTCTTCTTTTTATATTGTGGTAAAATACGTATAACATGTCACATCATTTTAACCATTTCAAAGTGTATGTCAGTGACATTTAGTACATTCACAACGCCGTGCAGCCCCCTCACTAATGTCTAGTTCCAGAACACTTCCATCCCCTTAAAAGGAGACCCCAATGCCCATGAGCAGTCACTCCTCATCCTCCCTCCCTCCAGCCCCCGGCAGCCACTAATCTATTTTCTGTCCCTATGGATTTGCCTGTTCCAGACATTCCATACACTGTGTGGCCATTTCTGTCTGGCTTCCTCCACTCAGCATAACGTGTCCCAGGCTCGTCCACGTTGTCAGGTATGGGCACTTCTTTCCTTTGTGTGCATGGAGCACATGGTGTTCGGCCGGTTATCCGTCAGCAGATGTCTGGGCTGTTTCCCGCTCGTCGCTGGTGTGAACAACGCTGCTGTGAACATCAATGCACAAGTTTGGTTGGGTGCCAGCTTTCAGGTGTCTTGGGTCTCTACAGAGGAGTGGAGTTGCCGGGTGGTGTGGTAACTCTATGTTTAGCTTCTTGAGGAACTGCCAGACTCTTTTCCACAGCAGCTGCACCATCTTACATTCCCGCTGGCAGTGAGTGAGGGTTCCAATATCCCACATCCTTGCAAACTTTTTGGCTTTGTTTCTTATTATAACCACTGGGTACCAATTTATCTTTATTTGTTCATTTCACCTGTTGGCATATACGTGGGTTGTTCCTGTTTTCTGCTCTCCTGGATAAAGCTGTTTGGAGCCTTTCTGTACATGTCTTTTGACGAATATACCCCTTTCTCCCCCAGTAAATGCCTAGGGGTAGAATGGCTGCGTCATGGGCTAAGGCTGTTTTCCCAGCGGCTTCAGAGAGAGGCCGTGCCACCCCATGTCCTCAGCAACACTTAAGTTTCAGCCGTTTTATTTATTTATATTTTTAATAATTTTATTTATTTATTTTTTCCCCCAAAACCCCAGTAGATAGTTGTATGTCATAGTTGCACATCCTTCTAGTTGCTGTACGTGGGACGCCGCCTCAGCATGGCCGGAGAAGCGGTGCGTCGGTGTGCGCCCGGGATCCGAACCCAGGCTGCTAGTAGCGGAGCGTGCGCACTTAACCGCTAAGCCATGGGGCTGGCCCTCAGCCATTTTAATATTTGCCTTTTGGGGGCCGGCCCCATGGCCTAGTGCTCTCTGCTTCAGCGGCCTGGGTTCAGATCCCTGGCACAGACCTACACCACTCATTGCAAGCCATGCTGTGGTGGTGACCCACATACAAAATGGAGGAAGATTGGCACAGACATTAGCTCAGGACTAATCTTCCTCAGCAAAAGAAAGAAAATATTTGCCTTTTCTCCCTCCTTCTCCCGCCCAGCTCACCAACCCTGTTCATCAATATCCCTGAAGCACGTGTGTTAACAGCACTCTTGCTCTGGGTGCTGGGAAGGGAGCAAGGCTGCTGGTGCTGGGTTTGAATCACTCCCCGTCTGGGATGGGACGGAACCTGAGGTCCCCGAGGGCCATATGCTTTATGTGGTAGTTCCTTTCATCCTTGCAACCTCTTGGGGCACAAGCTCTGAGTAAAGACATTTAATAAATGGGAAAGTGAGGTTCGGAGAGGTCAAGGGACAGATTCAGTGTCTGGTACCCGTGGGCATCTGACTCCAGGCCCTGCCACAGGTGCTCCTTCCTTCAGTCCTTTGTCCATTCGTCCATCCAGTAAACACTTCCTGACAACTTTCCCGTGCTGGGTGCTGCTGAGATCCTGAGACGTCTCAGTCCTGGTCCCCAAGGAGACCCCAGTCTAGAGGAGGAAGAGCTGGCCACAGATGTCCCCCAGCCCTGTGGACTCAGGGCTGGACTAGAGGGTGAGACCTGGACCTGTCTTGGGAGTGAGGACTCTGTCTTGGGACACAGGAAAGGTGTCCTGGAAAAAGGGACATTGGAGCTGGGCTTTTGAAGAGTGCACAGGAGTTCATTAGGCAGATGACACATTCATTAATTCGACAAATACCCCCCAGCCAAATCCTCTGTGCCAACCTCACCCGAACCTGGTCCCAAGGAGTCCCCAGGCTGGGGGAGACAGAACCAGACACGGATTCCCCAAGGGGTCATGGATGGGCTGGAAGGAGACGTGGGCGCCAGAGGCACCCCAGCGGGAGGAACATGGGGGTCTTCAGGGGGGCAGGCAGGGGTCTCGTGGGAGGAGGGTGCGGCTCCAATTCGCTCCATCAGAG